ATGAAACCTGCGTGGGTAGAGACGGATTGCAATTGTCCGGTGGTGAAAAACAACGAATCGTCATCGCTCGTGCATTAATAAAAAACCCTAAAATTCTTTTAATGGATGAACCGACAAGTGCATTAGATTATGGAAATGAAATAGTTTGTGGACTTTATTTTATGTTAAAATTTTTATTACAGTTGTTTTCTTTTACAGGCTGTTCAAGAAGCATTAGAGAATGCTCAACGGGATCGCACATCAATTATCATTGCTCATCGTTTATCGACAATCAAAAATGCAGATTTAATTTTGGTCTTACAGAATGGTCGAGTTGTGGAGCAGGGAAAACATCACGATCTAATGAAAAGTAATGGTCGCTATTCGAAGTTGTATTTAGCAAGTGTTAAATGATATAAAAAACAACAGCTATAACTTCGTTTCATTATTATATTTCAAATATTGTTCTCTCGTATATGAACGAATATTTGCTCTAAATAAATAAACTTCGTTAGTGTTTTACGCTAGGCTAAGGTCCTTGCTTTACAACACAAAACGAAGTCCTCTTCATAGAAGCGGTGTATTTTTCCGCGTAGTACCTGAAAAACTGTCTTGCTTAGGATACTTCAAAAGTTGTCACAGAGTGCGGACACTTTTTGAACACCCTCCTATATAAAACTATAGGTCCTTTGTAATGTCAAAACTGAATTCGAGAGGAAACGATGCTCTGTTTAATTATTAAACGTAACAAATGCGTATGCGCATAATTCAGGCAAAGCAAGTCGATTTACTTGTAGTTATGAAAACAAAGCATTTTGTATTAGGGGTCATCTCCGTCTTAGTTGACTAACGGTTTAGCTCTACATTATCAAATATCCATAATAAATGCTCTCCTCTACGAAAAAGTAAAAGTGGCATCTTTTGTAGCTGGTATAGATAACATGCTATGCTTTAACAGTGCTTCGAATTTATTAAATGCAGGCTCACCAACAGTTGAAGTTTACAATGGTGCTGACTGAATCTTGTTTATTTAGTGCAATTTGTATTTCAATAATGGTTGAAAAAGAAAACTAAGCTCTTCTTCTTAGTATCAAATTACATCCGTTTTAAAATGTGCTTAGCTTTTTAAAGGAAAGAGAAATGACAATTGTTGTTTTTTTTCTTTGTTTATATGTAAGGTTGGATTAGATCGAGCGATATAACGGGTGATGCAACTACATTAATTTTGTTTTTGATATAGTGTTGCGGCGGCATATCGTAGAGACAATAGATCGAAACAGGTCTGGTTCGGGTCAACGTAAAAGATACTGATTCACGTCGGGTCAACTCACGTTCGAGTCAGTTCGGGTTCGGGTCAGATTGGAAACCTTTTTTCTGATCAAACTCAGGTGAAAAACTGCCTGAACTACTCAAACTTTTTCACTCTTAAAAGGAAAAAATGTCAGAAATCGTAAGGAGTCTGACCATTTTTTTTAAAAAGTTTGAAAACAATCTGTCTAAGATAACTTTTCTATAGGAAAGAAGTGTTTCTTTGCGAATGTGTACGAAAACATTGTCATGGTTCGGATCTAGTTCAGATCAGTTGAAAACTTCTCGGGTCCATTCGGGTCGGGTTCGGGTCACGACTGGTTGAACCGTTTCGGTCTCTTGTAGAGATCTTAGCCTTTTGTCTTACAAAGAGCAAAATGTCTAATACAAAAATATATAAAAGTGTTTGATCCGAAATGTCTCACAAAGGCCACACAAATCTGGGATTAATCGATAAAATAGAGATCTTGCCAGAACTCTCATATACGTGTGATCATAATGTACTTAAATTTAGTATTACTGTTGCTCAGCCTACCATCACACAATATACTAGGCGAATTTATGATTATCGTGCTGCGGATTGGGAAAATTTTCGTACTAAACTAGCAGAAGTCGATTGGAAGAATCTCATTGCGGGTGTAGGACTTGATGACAGTGTCTTACTTGTTGAAAAAATGATTCTACAAATTACAGATTTTGTGGTGCCACATAAAAATATTGTCGTGAAGTCTAATGATCGACCTTGGTTTAAGGAAAACTTACGAGAACTATTAAAAAAGAAACATGAGCTTTACAAAATTGATTGCAGGTTTAAAACTTTAAGTACCG